TAGTTCATATTGTATTATATGTAAGAATAAATAATTAGTAAATATTTATAAGAATAAATAATATTATAAATAATATAATAATAATATAATAAATTTATAAATAAATTTTATATATTTAATACATATAATACGTGTATCTATATAATTTTAGTAAAAAATATAAATAACATATATTTAATTTCTTTCTCTTATTCATGATTTTTGTTATTTAAAAAATGTTACAAGCGTAATAAATTACCAAAATAATAAATTATCAAAATAAAAATATCCCAAATTTAATCTAAATTTTGAAATATTTGCATATAATATTACACAAGTCATAAGTATGGATAAATTACATATTACAAATTGCACTGTTAATTCCTTATAACATTTATGGAAATAATAATTGAAATATATAATTGAAATGATTGTATTTCATTTTTTTGCAATATTAAAATATATTAAGTCGAATGAAAATCTATATAACTTATAGCAAACATATTACATGTAAATTTAAATATTCATATATGTGCGTGCATATATTCTTTAATCTATCTTTCTATAAATATATTTTATATATTTCTGTAAATATTATTTACTTTGTAAGAATAAATCTAAATGCAAATTTTATTTGCTTGCATAAAGCACTTTCATGAACAAATTTTTTCATAATGCTTTATCTAGTAAAAAAGTTCATGCATTTTTCATTCCCTGATTTCTTATTTAAAATTTATGGATTACATAATCTAATTTTTTATTTCAGATATCATATATATCATATATAATTGTAATTATTCACAGATTAATCAATTAATCAAACATATATTGCTATATTATACACTTTAAAACAAATTTCATATATATATTTTATGCAAAATTTTTAAAGTCTTGATTATATCTTTGTATTACAAAACTTTCCAATATATGATTGTTAATGCTACACTTCAACAAGTGATATATATAAACATACTGTTTACTGAATATAAATATGAATCTAACACACTAGGAAATTCTAGTGTGTTAGACGCCTATTTCAAATAGTTTCTTGACTGTTAACTGATTGTGAACTGCGCGATGTTTTTCGATTTATTGGTTCCAAATAAGCTGCTGGTGCCCATCCTTCTATTCCAGTAGTTATTAATTTTACAAACCACCAACCAGCACATCCAACTTTAAGAAGTTCTAAATTATCTCCTTCGCGCATTGTAACTTCTGATTGACCAACTGCGCAATAATCAGCTAATGCTATATATTTTCCACCCTGATTAGATATAAAATTTATAACTTTATTATTAATCTTTATCTAATTGTTTAATTAATTACCAGAAATAAAACTTACAGGAGCAGGACCGGGATTTTCACTAAAACCATCTTCATCATCAGTATTACTATTCTCTGAACTCCATGCAACATCATCTTCAGTTAATTGTGAAATATCTGTAATATGCGATATAACACTGCTACCATCAACTGAAAGAGTTCTCAATGATCCTGAAATACTGCTTTGAGCTTCCCATGAAATCGTTTGTCGTAAAGGTCTATAAATATTTTACAAAAATTTATTATCATTAGAGTTTTTAATTTGTCATATAATATAATATAATAATAATATATACTTGTGATTTGTTTTTCCAAGAGCAGAATTTTGTTTTCCCTTAAGTTCAGCTAATTGAGACATTAAAACACCTTTAATTTGACGCACCCACGATTGTTTGACATCAACTGTAGATGCTTGTATCGTATGCACTTCAGCACGACCTTGTAACCAAATTTCAAAGCGTCTTGCATCACCTTTTACTGATTCTGTCAGTCCAATTTGTGACATCTAATAAAAACAGAATACTTTTAGATATGATACAAAAAATATGAAATGTTAAAGATTACCTTTAGATATCTTTTGAAATGATATGTAGCTTTGTTATGAGCTTGGGGTTTACTATGCTTACAAAATATAAGAGCCTTTTCGTATAAGAATATATGGCGCTGTGATGGTTTTAACCTGAGAAGTCGTTCTCGTTTACTACTACTCCATACACTGAAAGAACCTTGCAATAAAAGTTCACCTTGTGCATTTAAATCTCCCTAAAAAGAATATACATTTTTATTATAATGTTATTAAATAAAATAACAAAAAAAATAAAAATTTAATAAATTTAAAATGAACTTACACCAAATCCAGTAATTGCAGTTTGATGCATACTATCGTTAACACATTTCAATACAACAAGCATACAATCTAATGCTTCTTGTAATTCAGTACAACACGATGGTTCATCACTATATTTTAAAAGATCTTTTAATAATAATTGATATTTTGTTATACGTTGAACAGGCTTTAAAAGATATGCAGCAAGAGGTAATTTGTGACCAAGTCTTTGCTGACAAGCTGCAAGAAATTGTGGTTCATTTTGTACCTGTTCTCGTAATCTTTCAGATCTTGGAATATTTTGACAGTAGTAACTATATAATCTGAAGAACACTTCACGCTAAATAGTATAAAAATTTAAATAAATTTTGTGTAATAATTAATTAAAATTATTCATACATATACACATATCTATAAATAATTACCCTTTGTACAAAACATAATGCAACAAGTTCAGTATTTGAAATACAATTTTCTAAATCTTTTAAAAATGTTTCTCCATGAAAAATGTAAATATCTTCTAAGTTCCCAAATAAAATATCTCCCTTGCCTATTAATACTGCTGGTA